AGCCACTTTGAAGATACCAAAGTATAGTACAACAACTCTTAATAATCTCCTACCTCTTTTGTCTGTAACTCATTATTATTTGTCTATTTGTTTTCCTGAGAAACTACTTTGTAGATAACAATTTGTAAAACAATAAGCATTGATAATTTCCTACCATTTTGTCTGTAATTTGCTAAGTCCCCCCTATTATTATGTTATCCTTCTTTTACTCTTTAAAAAAAAAAAAAGCAGGAAGCTATCACTTTTAATAAAATGTTGATATGTCCTTAAAAGCTACTGTAGCTGTAGCTGTATTAAAAGAAGACCTTTTCAGGGTTGACTTTCCCTGTAATGCAAGAATAAAGCACAGCCACCTTCTTTAATAATTTTACGATTAAATCAAATTGGCAATTCTTCAGTACTACTTTGCTCTCTCTCTCTCTCTCTCTCTTTTTTTTTTTTTTTTTTTGCCTTTTGGAAACAGGGTCTCGCTGTGCAGTTCAGGCTGGCCTTGACCTCACTTTGTAGCTCAGGCTGGTCTCACACTCGCAGCGATCCTCCTGCCTCAGCCTCCCAAGTTCTGGGATTACAGGTGTGCACCACCATGCCTGGCTACTTTGCTCTCAAAATTTTAAAAACATCAATTAGTTTTGAAAATGTACAATTTAAAAACACAATCCTGTCAATAACAAGGCCACTTTGTAGTAGCTGAAAGACACATTGAACCATGCAATTCAGTGTTCATTACCAAATGATAAGTTACAATGCTGACTGACTTTTACTCTGAAAAATCACTGAAAACCGGGGTAATATTGTAAGACTTACAAACATGCAAAAAAAGATATAAACATTTCAATTTGTCCTGAAGGAATGTTACATAGTGTCCAGTTTTTACACAGGAATGATAATTATGCCAAATTCTTTATATTTTTCAATTCATTGTCTTCTTTTTAGCATCTGTTATCAAAATGTTTTAAAGTACAGATGTTCCTATAAGTTGTGACTGGAAATGAACTTTAATTTCAGCTTTTTTGCTGCCTTTTAGTAAAATAGTGACATCCAGCGGACAGGTGACAGAAAGAATCTTTCACAATTCCCATCACTGACTTGTACACAAGTTTTCATCACAAAATCCACCTCATTTCTCTGGGCGTGCTGGCATATGCCTGTAATCCCAGCACTTGGTGGGGCTGAAGCAGGAGAATCACCCCAAGTTCTAGGCCAGCCTGGGCCTGCCTGAAGTGAGTTCAAGACTGGCCTGAACTACATGGGGAGACCCTGTCTCAACAAACAAAAAACAAACAAACCCAATCAAAGAAAAAGGTCCAACTCATTTGATAATCTTCAAATTCTTACACCACCTCATACTTTCTGTACATCTTAATGTATCCACTCTTTAAATTTAAAGTCATTTTCTTTTGAACTCATAAGAATGCATAGCTCTTGAGGCTGGTGAGGTCATCTTCTCTTTTTGTTTCACTGTTTTCCACCAGAAACCAGCGGACCCATTTCTAGACATGGGCAAACCAAACATGAGAAAAAGATCTAAATAAAAGTGATGAACATTAAAAATTTGTAAAAGATGACATCTGGAACTGTTTTGCATTCTTAATTCATATGTTGTTGAATAGGAAAAGGACATAATCAGTAATAAATGCTAATAAATTACATCCTCTTGCCTCATTGTTAAAGAATGCAGAGTTTGGCAATGCTGGCTTCAGTGTTTAAACACTTACAAATCAGTGTAACGTAATGTTCATTGCACATCATGTTTAAATACAAGTAGAGTACCTCTAGTCTGCTGAGTTGTTTCACCAGGGGTTATGTGTATTATGTGCATGTTCAAACTACAGAGTGCAACAGTGTCATCCTATCATTAGTGGGAAGTCTGCCAGTCTCAGCAAGGACACTCATGTCACATGGGTGGATGACCCTGTGTTGCAGTATGTCACATGAGCTCACCTCCTACCAAGGGCACGCCAGATAGGTAGCAATGACCCACTACAAACTGGTGCTATTTTGACTAGAGGTTGGAGGACTATTATCCCAATAAACATTATTAACAGATCCTAAAAATACTCAGAAATAAATATGACAAAACAGTGGTTGCAGGATATTATTTATGCATATAATGTACAAAAAGGATATGACTATATAGACATGTCTCACATTACAAAAAATTATTCAACAAGGATAAATGGAAAGCTATATTGGTTTGTGGAGAGAAAATTTCACTAGTCCACACTAAAAAATTACCTTCCAAGTTAATGGGTAAATTCAATACCCTGTTTTCTCAAATTCAGAGTATGACCAGGCATTTCTAGAAATCTGAACATCATATGTCAGAAATTCTGCAAGACTACCCTCAGAAGTATAGCACAAGACAAGTATGAGAAACAGAAATAAACAGCTATGAAAACACTCATACAGGCATAGTAAAAAGCCTGATACCTTCTGAAGAGAATACAAACCTTAGAAAATGCATTATGTTATTTAAAACTGCTGATTTTAAAGGTAAAATTGCATTAAAATTAGTGAAAATCTAGAAATTCAAGGGGAAGACGAAAAAGTGAATAATGTAAAAGTTGAACACAAAATTGTTAATTACAGATTTAATGGAATGAAAATCTAGAGTAAAATTCAATTTCAAAAGGTGATTAGTACAGGTGGTAGTGATCATAACACTATTAGAGAAAGAAGCATCGTTTTTCACTGAAATCAATCCCCTACTGTAGTATCTGACAGGAAAACTGTTACAGAATTGCTTCCGACCTTACACATATTTTAAAATGCATTCCCCATGCACACAGACATATAATTATTTTAAACTTAAGGCTTCTTTCTCCCAGAGTGTGTCTTATCTCTGAAGCCATGCAGAGAATTCTTATCTGGTCTTATCAAAATAATGTAGCACTTAGGGACAAAGATGCAGCCCAGCAGCCCCGCACTGGAGGCCAAGATGGAGAAGACTTCCATGGCCACCATGACCTTCCCCTTGGTGCTGTGGTACACGGGGAGGAAGGTGACCCACACACTGCAGAACACCAGCATGCTGAACGTCAGGAACTTGGCTTCATTGAACGTGTCAGGCAGGTTCCTGGCCAGGAAAGCCACGGTGAAGCTCACCAGGGCCAGGGAGCCCAGGTATCCCAGGACACAGTAGAAGGCAGTGAGGGAGCCCTTGTTGCACACAATGAGGATGTGGCCATGTTCAGAGTGAGCGTCTGTGTCAATGTAGGGTGGATTTGTCCCCATCCAGACTCCACAGAGAGTGAGTTGGATCAAGGAGCAGATGGGGATGATGGAGTTTGGTGCCCCTGATACCAGCAACTGCCTCATCTTTCTGCCCGGAGCAGTGACCTTAAAGGCCAGCACCACAGTAATGGTTTTGGCCAAGACGGTGGAAACAGCCACAGTAAACACAATTCCAAATGAGGTCTGCTGCAAGATGCAGGTGGCTGTGGTGGGACGGCCAATGAAGAGCAAGGAGCAGAGGAAGCAGCAGGTGAGGGAGATGAGCAGGGTGTAACTGAGAGCCCGGTTGTTGGCCTTGACAATGGGAGTGTCTCGGTGCTTCACAAAGAGCCCAAGAACAGCAGCTGTGAGAAGAGTGAAGCTCAGAGCTGTGCTGGCTAGACCCTCCCCCAAGGGATCTTCATAAGCCAGAAAAGTCACAGACTTTTGGAGGCAGTGGTTTCTCTGACTGTTGGCATACTGATGATCTGGACACTTCACACACTGCTCCATATCTAGTGAGAAATGCAAATTATCATTAGCATATTAGTCATAGATCCAACCCAAAGAATCTCATTGGATTAGTTGAACCAACATTTTCTTTCTGTATTTCAAGACATAATTAATGTTACATAGGGGATCATTTTTTTATGTTTTTGTGCCGGGAATCAAGCTCAGGACCTTGTGCTTGCCAGGAAGTAGGGAATCATTTTGAGTTAACAATGCCTGTCTTCCTCTTGTTTTTCCTCTCCTCCTCCTCCTCCTCCTCCTTTTACATTTTCCTTTCTAATTTTACTTTTTTGTATATGTTTGTAGTACATTGTCACTGCTTGTATCTAGATGTCCTCCCAAAGCCTCATGTGCTCATAGGTGGGGCTTTTCAGAATTGGCTGGCTCTAGGGCATTTGAATATAGATTAAGGGTATGTGAATATAGAGTAAGATTATGATAACTGAGTCCACAGATTGGGTATGGATAATGGAAAAGTCCATGTTGGGTGTGAGTGGGACCATCCAAAAGGCTTGTAACCTGGTTGGGGTAAATGGGAAAGAGAACATTGCTGCTTCACTTTGCTGTCTTTGCTTGTTGTACCATAAATTGTTTGTGGCCTGTGATATCACCCTGCCACCCTGTCACCCTACGATGTCACTCTGCCAGCTGACTATGAAACTGAAACCTCTATAAACTGTGATTTAAAATAAACCTTTCCTCCTTTCACTAGTGGGTGTCATTTTTTGTCTCAGCAATGCAAAAAATAAGACAACATGGTGATTAAGTAAGACAACATGAATGCATCATATGAAGTTGGTACATAGAGGACTGTCAGGAAGATGGAGTGGTAAGCAGCAGAGAAAAGCCTCTCAGAGTTGCCATCCACACACTAGAATATAGCAACATGAGGAAGTGAAGAATGAGGGAAGTGGATCCTCTGGACCCAGGAAGAATATAAAGTGAGAACTGAAGCCCGCAGGTAGAGTGAAGAGAGAAACTTTAAGGAAGAATAAGGAAGTAGCTGGCAGAGCATTCTCCCCAAGTTGAGACTCACTGCATGGGCAGAGCAGTTCAAACATGTGGACACACAGTAACTGCTGGCAACACCAGAGGCCTCCATGGAGAGATGCAGCAGTGGAAGGGAAGAGTGGATGCTGGCAACACCAGAGGCCTCCATGGAGAGATGCAGCAGTGGAAGGGAACAGTGGATGTGGAGGACTGCACTAGCCTGGTGGCTGAGTTTGATGCTATTGTTATTGCTGATTGTACCACTAGCCAAAGTGACATAGCCAGCTGTTCTTTCTGGTATACCAAGACTTAAGATTGCCTAAAGGTCCTGGCAAATACTGCGGCCACTGACAAAGAACCAGAGGCTGGGCCAAGCAGCCAGCAACTTCTCATCCCCAACAAATTGAAGAGTAGGATCTTGCAACAGTCTCAAAACCAGCTACACCTGGAACACACCTCTGAGAAATAGTCGTTTCCTCAGGGTTCTAAATACTAGCAATGAAGCAACTCACATAGGCAATTTACAAGAATCAACCCAGGAATTAAGCTAAAAAAAGAAAAGAAAGTGAGAAGACGCTTAAACAAGATCCATTCCCAGACATCCAGTTCACCAAAGGCAAACTAATGTGTCAATGAAGCAGGACAGTCTGAAAACCATCCACCTGGCCTTTCTGAAATGGTAACAACAAAGGAAATGAATGAGACTCTAGAAACAATCAAATCAGAAATAATTTCTCAGATAACTCCAGAGATGGTGACCATAATGAAAAACATCTTTAGTGACTCTAGAACAGGTACAGTTAAAAAAATAGAGGGGCTTACAAAAATGATGGAAACCATGATGCCCAACATAGGAAAGAAATGGAATACATAAAACAGATTCAAGCATATATCCAGGAGACTAAAAATTCCATTAAAGTATCTGCAGCAGAATGAGCCAATGTGAGGGCAGAATCTCAGATATAGAAGACAGGCTTGGGGTTAGCAATCATGAAAAGAAAGATTTCTTAAAAATAGCAAGGGACTATGAAAAATCTAACAGCTGCTAGATGATGCAAGAAAGAATAAGATAAAGTGGATTGGAGGCAACAAAAAAGCAGGAGATTGAGCTGGAGGTGGTGGCACATGCCCATAATCCCAGCACTTGGGAGGCTGAGCCAGGAGGATTGCCATGAGTTTGAGGCCAGCCTGGGCTATGTAGTGAGTTCAAGGTCAGCCTAAACTGCATAGCAGGACCCTCAAAAAACAAGCAAACAAAAAACAAAAAAAGAAAAAGCAGGAGATAGCACAAATGATATAAAAAAACCTGTTCACAGTTGTCATAACAGAAAACTTTCCTGGCAGGGAAAAAGAATTTGACATACAAGTAAATGAGACATATAGAACTCTAATTAGCCAAGACCAAAATAAATCTTCACCGAGGCATATTATGGCCAAGGTTCCAGAAATTCACCCCAAGAATAGAATACTAAAAGCTGTCAGAGAAAAGAAACAAATCACCTATAAAGAAAAGCCTATCAGAATCACACTTGATTTCTCAACACAAATACTCAAGTCAAGGAGAGCTTGGAGTGAAATATTTCAAGCCCTAAAAGGAAACAACCTCCAACCCAGACTGATGTATCTAACAAAACTTTCTGAATTGGTAGAGAAATAAGATACTTCCATGAGAAAGAACATCTGAGGAAATTCATGAACACCAAATCAGCACTCCAAAATGTTCTGAAGAAAATTCTAGAAAGAGATAACAAGGACTACAATTCCATGAGCCCTAGCAGAAGAAGTTCATCAGGCAAGGCAAACAATTAGGGAAAAATAGAGGGAGCCAACAACAGGAAAATAACATGACAAGAATGAGTCAATACATATCAGTTACAACCATCAATGTTAATGGTCTCAATTCACCAGTCAAAAGAAAGATTAGCAGAATAGATCAAGAAGCAAGATCCAACAATTTGCTGCACACAACAGATGCATTTAACTCAAAAAGAAGTTCATAGGCTGAAAGTCAAATTATGGAAAACAGTATACCATGTGACAGGAACCTAGAAAACAAACAGTGTTAGCTATTCTCTTTGCAGACAAATGAATTTCAAGCCAAGACTGCTTAAGAGAGACAAAGAAGGGCACTACATCCTTGTAAGGGGAATAATCCAAAAGAAAGGTAAAAATCATAAATATACATGTAACAAATACCAGTGCACCCTACTAAAATGAATATTAATGGGCATGAAAAATCAAATAAACACTAATACAGTTGTACTGGGGGATCTCAATACCCCACTGTTACAAATAGATCAACTAGACAAAAAAATCAACAATAAAATATTAGAGCTGAGCCAAACTTTTGAACAAAGAGACTTGATAGATGTATACAGTGTTCTACCCTACAACATCAGAAAACATTCTTCTTTGCTGCACATGAGATGTCCTCCAAAATAGACCACATACTAGCTCATAGGACATGCTTAAATAAATGCAAAGGAACTGAAATTATCCCATGCATATTGAATGAAATTGGAAATCAATGGCAAAAGAAACCACAAGAACTTCATGAACACATGGAAATTAAATAACGTTTTCCTGAACAGCGAATGGGTCACAAGTGAAATCAAGGAAGGAATTAGACAGTTCATACAATTAAACAGTAATGACAATACAACATACTAGAACTTATGGGACGCAATGAAAGCACTCATATAAGGGAAATTAATAGCAGTTAATATCCATATCAGGAAAACAGAATGAGCTCAAACAAACAACTTAGTGTTTAAACTCAAGCTTGTAGAAAAAGAATAAGGATAAGAAAGGAAAAAGTTAGATTATCATTGTTTGTGGATGACATGATACTCTATATAGAAGACCCCCAAAATTCCACCAAAAGACTTCTAGATTTAAAACCAGGTGTGTAGCTGAGACTTTAATAGGTAGTAATCCTTTGAGGAATAGCTGGCAAATATTTTTTCCTACACTGTGGGTTGTCTCTTCACCCTGTTCATAGTTTCTGTGCAAAAGCTTTTTAATAAGATGAGATTCCAATTGTTTTTTTTTTCCAGTCCTTTTTTTTTTTTTTTTTTTTTTTTGAGACAGGGTCTTGTTATGCAGTTCAGGCTAGCCTTGAGCTCGCAGCAATCCTCCTGCCTCAGCCTTCCAAGTGCTCGGATATAGGCCTGCACTACCATGCTCAGCTGAGATTCCAATGATTGATTGTTTGTGATAGTTCCTGTGAAATCAGTGTTTTGTTCATAAAGTCTTTGCCTACACCAGTGTCTTTAAGAGTTCTACATATTTTATCTTCCAGCAGGTTTAATGTTTCTATTTTAATATTTGAATCTTTGGTCAATTTTGATTTTAGTTTAGTGCATGGTGAAAGTATGGGTCCAGTTTTAATCTTCAACATGTGCACAGCTGGTTTTTCCAGCACCATTTATTAAAGAGGCTGTCTTTCTTTCAGTGAATGTGTTTGGCCCCTTTGTTAAAGATAAGTTGGCTAAGTATGTCTGGAGTTGTTTCTACACTTTCTAGTCTGTTCCATTCTGAGATTGTGATGCCACTGCCTTGCCTTTGTTGCCTGAAATTACCGTTGCTATTTTAGGTCTCTTCTGCTTTCAAATAAATTTTAGGATTATTTTCTCTAATTCTGTGAGATATGCTATTGGAATCTTGATCAGAATTGGATTAAATCTGCAAAACAATTTTCGAAGAATGGTCATTTTCAGTAGGTTGGCACTTCCTACCCAAGAGCAGGGGATATCTTTCTATTTTCTAATATCTTCTTCAATCTTCTTTTTCAGAATACTGTAGTTTCCAATATAGAAGTTTTTACTTCCTTTGCTAGATTGATTCTTAGGTATTTTATTTTTTGGAATGTTATTGTGAGAAGTGCTGTTTCCCTAATTTCTCTTGCAGTGAGTGTGTTATTCATGCATAAGAAGACTATTGATTTTTGAGTGTTGACTTTGTATCCAGCTATGCTACTTAAGTTTTCACTATGTACTAAACTAAAATGAAAACAGATCAAAGAGTTGGTTGAGTGCAGACTGGTATAACTACTGTGAAATCAGTGTGGAGATTCCTAAAAAAACTAGGATTAATGGTCCCATTTGACCCAGCTATTCCCCTTCTGAGTATCTTCCCAAAAGAATTAAGAGCATCATACCACAGTGATATACGCACACCCCTGTTAATAGTGGCACCATTTGTAATAGCTAAATCTTGGAAGCAGCTCAAATGCCCATCAACCAATGACTGAATAAAAAAGATGTGACTTTTTAAAATAATAAAATACTAGTCATAAAGAAAGATAAGATTGAGACATTTATATCTAAATGGATGGACCTTGAGACCATAAATACAAGTGAAATATATCAGACACACGTGTGAATATTGCATTATCTCTCTGGTGTGAGAAACTGAAAATGTAAATGTTATGGTTTGTATCTGTGTC